CTACTCTACTCTACAACACTCTACTTTACCCACTCTACATTATTCTACTCTACTATACTATACTATACTCTACTTTAAGACACTCTACAATACACTACTCTACGGCACTCTACTCAACTCGACGACACTCTACCATACTCTACTCTACAACAATCTAATCTACGACGCTCTTCGACACTCGACGACATTCTACGACACTGTATGATACTCGACTCTACTCTACTCTACTCTTCTCTACGATACTCTACATTGCGACACTCTACTCTACTCTACGACACTTCACTCTATTTTACTATACGACACTGTACTCTACTCTACTCTACAATACTATTCTCTACTCTACGACAATCTACTCTATTACACTCTGCGGCACTTTATGACACTCTTTTCTACTTTACTCTACTGTAGGACACTCGACTCTACTCTACGACACTGTACTGTACTCTACTCTACTCTACTCTACTCTACTTTACTCTACTCTACTCTACTCTACTCTACTCTACTCTACTCTACTCCACTGTACGACACTCTACTCTGCTCTAAGACACTCTACTCTACTCAACTCTACTCTACTACACTCTTCGACACACTTTTGTACTCTATGACACTCGACGATACTCTACGACACTCTACAAAACTCTACGACACAGTTCTCTACTATACTCTACTCTACGAAACTATAATTTACTATACTCTACTCTACTCTACTCGACTCGACTCTACTCTACTCAACTTTACTCCACACTACTTTACTTTACTCTACTCTACTCTACTCTACTCTACCCACTCTACTCTACTCTACGACACTCTATGACACTCTACTCTACAACACTTTACGACACTCTACTCTACTATACGACACTGTACTCTATCACACTCTACTCTACTATACTCTACCCTATCAACTCAACTGTACGACACTCTATGACACTCTACGACATTCTACTCTACTCTATCACACTATATGACAGTCTACTCTACTTTACTTTAGTCTCCTCTCCTCTCCTCTACTCTACTGTACTTCACTCTACTTTACTCTACTCTACCCACAATACTCTACTCTGCTCTACTACACTCTACTTTCTACTATATTACACTCTAGTCTACTCTAAGACACTCTACAACACTCTACACTACGACACTTAACGACACTCTACGACACTCTACTGTACTTTACAACATTTTATTTTTCTCTTTGACACTGTAGGACACTCTACTCCACTCTACGACAATGTACTCCACTCTACGAAATTCTACTCAGCTCTACGACACTCTATGACACTTGACCCTCTACTCTACTCTACAACACAGTACTCTACTCCACTCTACGACACTCTACTCTACTCAACGACACTCTACGACACTCTATAATACTGTACTTTACTGTACTCTACTTTACTCTACGATACAGTTTCTACTCTGCGCCATTCTACTCTTCTCTATGACACTCTACTGAAGCGTCTCGCTCGAAGTCGGACGCACACAACAGGAAGGGATTTGCTTTATTTAATTTATTTCATTTAACGTTCGAAATCCTGTGTGACAGCCTGTTGGCTTTCTGGTCGCCTGAAGAGGCCCGACTAAAAAAAGTGCGACAGCGCGCGTGTGCACGGGAGATGATGCCAAGAAGACGATCATGGTGATGGTTAGGAGGTCGACAATCGAGGAGGACGAGAGGGAGGGGTGATGAAGAGAAAGTTGGAGGAGGGAGGAGCGAAGGAAGAGGAGGGAAGAGGAGTAGGGAGGACAAGGACTATGACAATGAGGGACGAGGATAGAGGATGAAGGCCGGAGGAAGAGGGAGGAGGGCGATGAGCATGGATGGAGGAGGAGGGAGGAGGGCAATGTGAATGGACACACACACACACACACACACACACACACACACACGCATGCTCACCTTCGCGTAGCAGACGTATGCACTCCAACGAAGCTTCCCCGACGTGGCGAACTCAAAGACTGACTGCTGCACCATTTTTCTGTGGCGGCGCGTGAAATACCTACCACTTCGAATTCGAATTCCTGTTGTCACTGATGCAAGGGCATCACAGAAAGATGTGTGCCCCTTGTGAGGGCATTTCGAGGACAGACCGACGAAACGCCACCAGCGTTCCAGTAAGGGTATATCGGAAAGTTACGCCCCATGCTGACAGGGGCCTGCGGAAAATTCCAGAGGTCCGAGGGGCACAACAGGGTAAGTCAGCCTTCACAGGGGGACGCCGCAAATAAACGCAAACTTCAGAGGCATTTCAAAAAATTTCTGAAAAGGAAAAGGAAAAGGAAAAAAAAGGGATCCCTGTGTGTGTGTGTGTGTGTGTGTGTGTGTGTGTGTGTGTGTGTGTGTGTGTGTGTGTGTGTGTGTGTGTGTGTGTGTGTGAGTGTGTGTTGTTTTAGTAACCCCAGACTCTCTCTCTCATTCCCTCCACGAATCATCATAAACCATCCATAAAACAAAAGAAAGTAGACATCGTACGAGCGCTGTGGTGCAAGCGCGTGCACGTGAGCTGGCGCGGTGACTATGGCGAGAACCCTGATCTGCCAAGAGTGTTGACCTGACGCGGGCACCGAAGGACAACAGTGAAACAACTATGGTGGTCATCTTAGCGGTGCACTCTTGCACTTAGTGCATGCACGAAGACTGGAGGCGCTTAATCGCGCCATGTCGCAGGCTGACATGGCAGTCGGTCTGGCTCGTGGTTTTCCGTGAGTTCCACATCGAAGCTCCATTGCCGCAGCTGAGTTCCTGTTCCTGCACGTGGCATAGTGCCTTGGTGGTGTTGGCTATGTCGACGCTGGTGGAGTAGGGTGGAGTTAGCCCATGGTTACCGGGAATTGTGGTGTTTATCATACGAGTGGAGCGATCGGTGGTAGACTATCAGGGAGCTATTCGTCAACATTATCCAAGCGCTGTCCTTCATCGTCAACAGGGGAGTCTACATCATCAGGGGAGCTGTTTTTCTTCTGTGCATCCGGAATGCGGCTTTCTTCATCAGGGAGTTCATCTTCAGGAGAGTTGTTTTTTCAGTATGTATGTTGTCTTGCTTTTTTTTTGCAGGTCGTCATCATCTTCATCACTGTTGCCATTGGGATTCTTCTTCCAGGCTGTCATCACCATCTGGGTACTCATCATCGTCAGCGTTGGATGCCATCTTCGCCAGCATTGCTGCTGGCTCATCCTCTTTTCTTTCAGCAGGTTCACGAGCCTGATCGCCGTTGTGTCATTATTTTCCTCATCTCCACACTGATGTCCCGTGGCTGATTGGTGGTCGCTATCATCAGTGTTGTCATCATCACGCGGCAGCGCTGCTGTTCATTATCTTCTTCAAAAAATAGGTTTCATTAGTGTGCTGTGCACAAGTCATCATCATGGTGCTCTTCTTCAACAGGGCGCTGGTAAAATCCAATGATCATCATGGCGCCTTTTCGCCTTCTTCATCAGACTGTCTTCCAAACATCGCGTTAATGTCGGTCTTCCTCATTGACTTGCTCTTTCATCTGCTTGCCATCACATTGACCGGTGCGTTTCTTCCTCGATCACTGCTCGCCAACATCATCATTAACCTCGACACATTATTCATCATCATCTTCAATGGGCGCGCCCCCTGATTTTCTTGTTTTTTGTTCTGTTTTTGCTTTCTATCATTTTCCTTTAGGCGAGGGTTGCAGGTAGGTTTGGATGTGGAGAACTCTACTCTGTAGGGGGAGGTGATGCTCCATAGGGAGTAAGGGTGGATTTGTGGGATGCTCACATCTGGGGTTGGAGAGATGAATAGTCAGCATCTTACCCCCAGCGGAGGCAGATATGAGCAAAAGGTTGGCCAAGACAATCTTTGGGGGGTACTGATGCCTTGGTTGGATTAGGGGCATGAGCGGTTGACAGGTACCCCCACTTTTCAGCCCCAAGTTAACCTCCTCAACCCTGAAAAGAGCACTGGAGATCATTTTTTTTAGTTTTTCTGTTTTTTTTTTTCGTTTGCCCTGTTTTACTTTTGGTCAAGGTCTGTGTGTGCCAAGTTTGGTCTGTCCTGTGCTGGGGCTGATAAGGATAGCTTTTTTATCACAGTTGTCTTTATTGGCGGAGGCAGCATCGGGACAGAGCGAGAGAAGGAGGGGTGGGGCAAAGGGGGATCATCTATCCTTGTATTTTCTCCCCCAATGCGGTTAAACCACCAGTACTTCCTAAAGTCATGCCCGTTAACGTTCCACGGTTTTAGGAAATGTACGGGCCACTATAGGAGCGCCCAAATTCATCCAACTAGAAACATTTCTACTCTATTTTTTTCTGTGGCTGATAGCTGGGCCAAGTAAGGTCTGTGTGTGCCAAGTTTGGTCTGTCCTGTGCTGGGGCTGATAGGGATAGCTTTTTTATCACAGTTGTCTTTATTGGCAGAGGCAGCGTCGAGACAGGGGGAGAGCAGGAGGGGTGGGGCAAAGGGGGATCATCTATCCTTGTATTTTCTCCCCCAATGCGGTTAAACCACCAGTACTTCCTAAAGTCATGCCCGTTAATGTTCCACGATTTTAGGAAATGTACTGGCCACTATAGGAGCGCCCAAATTCATCCAACTAGAAACGTTTCTACTCTATTTTTTTCCGTGGCTGATAGCTGGGCCAAGTAAGGTCTGTGTGTGCCAAGTTTGGTCTGTCCTGTGCTGGGGCTGATAGGGATAACTTTTTTATCATAGTTGTCTTTATTGGCGGAGACAGCGTCGAGACAGGGGGAGAGAAGGAGGGGTGGGGCAAAGGGGGATCATATATCCTTCGATTTTCTCCCCCAATGCGGTTAAACCACTAGTACTTCCTAAAGTCATGCCCGTTAACGCGCCACGATTTTAGGAAATGTACGGGCCACTATAGGAGCGCCCAAATTCATCCAACTAGAAACGTTTCTACTCTATTCTTTTCCGCGGCTGATAGCTGGGACAAGTACTGATGGTTTAAGTACATGTGATTGCGAGGTTTGGGGTAGATCTCGACGGGGAGAGCTCTACTCCTAAGGGGCTTCACAAGGGAGGAGGTGAATGTCCTGGAGGGAGTGGGAGGAGAGGTTGAGAATTTTTTTGTGGGGCTGGGGGAGATGTATGGGGCCGCATCATACCCTAGCGGTGACAGATAAAAGCAAAGGGTCGACAAAAGCATATTTTAGGCGGGGATTGAATGCTTTTGTGGGAGCAAAGGAAGGAAGTGGGTATGTTGACGTTGAGGCTGGGGAGGAGTGTTTGTGATCAGAGCAGTCCTTCTGGTGGAGGCAACGACCACGCAGAAGGAGAGGAAGGAGGGGGGACGGGGAGAAATTTCTGCGTCAGCTTCATCATAATCGTCATCATCACGATCTTCAATAGTTGGTTCATCATCCTTCACGATCCTTGCAGTAATCTGCGGCAGTTCGATTCAGATTTTGAGTGTCAATATTGTTTTGCTTGTATTCAGATATAGCTCTGCTTGTTTAGAAGTCTCGGTTAGTTGATGCCAGAATGGTGCTGGACGGTGCTGAGGCATTGTCCTGTAACCTGTAGATGCAAGGGCTTGAGGCCTTGTAGAGAGTTATGGGGATTTCAGAGGGTGGAAGGAAATCCATTGATTGGCTTGGGCTACCGCCAGGACGACGATGGTCCGAGCTAGGGTGAGTCGCGCTGCCCTGTAACCTAGTCTGATTGGGGTGTGAGACCGGGGATAGACCTGGCTGAGTAGACAGTATTGTCAGTATAGCTAGGTTTGGATTTGGCTGGGATAATAGGGATACCTGAAATTAGGGATTAGATAGAAGCAGAGTGCATCGACTAGCAAACTGTTTGGATCAAATTATTGTTTCTATTCCCCTGGCTTGGGTCCGCACGTTAAGGAAAAGGATTCGCATTCAAGAAGCAGACTGGGTAGTAGAATGTATACCTAGTGAACAAAATAAAATAGGCCAAGTAATACATCTACTGCCTGATGGAGCTTTGGTAAGTATATGTGGGATCAAAAGAGACTTTAACCTTATCCCAAAAGAAACAGTGGAACTTCTTCCCTATGAATGCATTTACAGGGTCAGAGTTTTGTTTAATTCCTCGTCCCAAGGGCGGATGATATACCACCCTGAAATCCCAATCCCTGATCTCCCTTTTGATCGGCAGAATGAACATGGTTGACATGTAAGAAAGGAAAACCACAAGTTTTGCAATCTCTAACAGTCAAGGCCACGTATAGGCTACTTCGCCCAATAATGAATACTGCAGCATTAATATAAGAACGATGGGCTAGACGTCTTAATATTGACATAAATTTAATCAAACACATCAAACTCTTTAGAGCACTCAAGCAACATCCAACTAAATTTGTCTCGCTCCAGTGGAAGATAATCCACAAATGCTTGCCCACAAATGATTGGGTGATTGATCGCTCAACGTTGGAACAACGAGGCTTGGCAGTATGTGTCTGCATTCCCTAGTCGAAAATTCTGAGAAACCATAGAACATATCTTCCTACAATGTGCTGTATTGATATGGCGTAAGTGGGATTACATATGGAAAACTAAAACAAGTCTACACTGGCTATGGGATTAGAGGACTATTCTTCTAGGTCATTAGGAACCTGCAGACATCTAATTATCAAAATATCAACAAAATTTATTTACGATTGGACGCAAGGTTGTTATCTGGACGTTGTGGTACAAACGATGTGTATGGGAAGGAAAAGAAATAAGGTTAGAAGGAACCAATATAGTGGAATCAATTGCGGATTTTGTTGAAACAGAGGTTCGGGCACAATGAGAGAACCTCACAATCAAATTATACAAATTTCATTTTAAAAGAGATATAAAGATGGCAATACAACAATTTGAAAAAGACTGGCTGAGAAATTACACTGGGGGGGGTCTGGGTGAGGTGAAGTGGCCAGGGGCGGAGGGGGCAGAGGAACCTTTCAAAAAGGATTTTCGCCTCTTATTTCATAACTGGTTCAAACTTCAGCTAGGCGCCTCACTTAGATCTCCTGAATTTTTCACTGATCCATTTCCTCCTTCTAGACTTACTCTGGTTGATTTGCAATGATTTGGGGTAGAGGTAGAGTAAAGTAGTCACAACATTTGGTTTTTTTTTGGATGTGCACAATAGCAAAAGAAAGTTTGGGTGTTGGATCTTATAAACTAATCTGGCGGTCTGTGAGTAGACTGAAGAGGTGCCCAAGGCTTAATTTTGTTTTTTTGAAGAATTAGGAGCATCATGAGGGACGCTGGGCCCGGTTCCCAGCATGTGCTACTTTATCTTGTTCAAGGGACGCTGGACCCGGTTTCCAGCAGGTGCGGCTCCCCACCAATAGAATGGAGTCCCCTGCATGACAAGTAGGAGTGTATGCTCTTATCATCACTCCTATCTGTTAATGAAGTTGTTTTCTTAAACCACTAGTGCCTCTGAGTCTGTTTCTGCAGACCCTGAATTTCACTCGGCTCCAAGTTTGCCGAGCCTGGGTACCACTCCATTTCTCTCTAGTACTCTCACGGAAAAAACAAAAAAAAAAAGGAAAAAAAACTTGCACCCGTGAAATCAGAAAAGAAGCAAAAAAAAAAAAAGAAACTAAGCTTTGGTCGCGATTGCAGTTCTATACATTTTTCAAAGTGGTGGTGTGAGTGTGCCCTCAGTGAGGGCATCTCAGCCCTGTGGCCAGGTTGTCAGATTCGAACAAGAGAACAAAAGAAAAGAAAAACGGGCACACGGATCCGACCGTGAAAATGGTTGGATACATTCCCCTAAGTGCCAGTGTGATGGGCGTTACAGTCCTATGACAAAACACAGCTTTAGCAGATCACGGGAAACATGAGTAGATCACGGATTCCACCCTGCCTCGTTGACAGGGGACACGCGACAAAAAAAAAAAGAAACAATAACATTCAGAATGTGACCGCCTTACCTGTGAGGTGCATTCTGTGGAGGAAGACTGTGAGCACAGCCTCCTGGACTACCTTGCCCGTCATCATTGCAGTAGACAAAGCATTTTCTTTTTTTCCTTTTTCTTTCACTCGCGGGCACTATAAAAATCTGATTTATGGGACAATGCTGACCCTATGTCCCACCCCCGATTTCTTCGGGAACTGGCAAAACCTCGTAATTTCCCAATACTGAGGGAGGTACTAGTGGTTTAAAAAAAAAAAAAAAAAAAAAAAAAAAGATTGTAATCTAGCTGTAATTAGAATATATGACCATCTCAGGAGCAGACACCACTAACACCTAGGAGAGGCTCCATCTATTGGTGGGGAGCATCACCTGCTGGAAAACGGGTCCAGCGTCCCATATACAGAAATGTGAATATCTGAGAACAGTGAGAACAGTGGTGGTGCGGCCTGCCAGCATTGATTGCCCTGCTACCTAGGGGATTGACTGAGCATCCCTTTTTTTAGTGTTGAGATCTTCCAGTGCCATCTATACCTCTTCACCCTCAGCCCTATTACTGCTATCTCCCTTCAATCATGGTGCCATCAGTCTGCAATTGAGCCTTCTGGGTTTTAAAGATTTTGGCCCAAACCCCAAGCTAGTTCTGCCTCTTCAGCCCTTCTTTTGGGCTGCCTGTTACTATCCATGGTCCCTAGCAGTCTAGTTGCTCTCCTTGAAAGCTCTTCCATCTCTTTGCCTCTCTTTTCCATCACTCTCCCCCATCCCATGCTACGCCTACCAGGCTGTTAGCTTGGGGGGGGAAGAAAGTTGGGAATTCGCCACTCGGTCGCATTGGGATTGAGTTGTCCAACTTGGTCCAGTCGTTGAGAAGGAGTCCGTAGTGTCTGGTTAGCCCTTTGTTCTCCAGCATCCCCTCCTGCCCCACTTTTTCCCCTTTCCATTCCACCTTTCCTAATCTCCCCCCTGTTCCCCCCCCGAGCCAGCATTTGCAGAATTCTTGTATTATTTGCTTTATTTCGTTTTGCGTATAAATGTGTTTGATTTGTCCTTTGACTTGCTCCCACCGTGCTGTTATGTTTGTATTGATCTATTGTTGTATGCTCTCCGTAAATTCTGGCCCTTCCAACCTCACGCTTTCCATTTCATAGGTGCAACGACGTCTCCAGAGTGCCCACAATACTGCCATGCGTCCTTGTTTAAAAATGTTGAGAGTGAAGTTGTCAAGCTGCTCAGAGGGCCATCTTTCAAACAGCAGGGCTTTCCAGTCCGATGGCCAGGGTGTCCCTATTCCAAGCTGATCCCAGATTTTGTCCCACCATCTCCAAAGCCAGACTGCTCCGGGACATTGTAGAAAGATGCGTTCTATTGTTTTTGGTTTCTTCCTTGATGGGAATGCGCTGGAGCATAATCTACACCAGGGGAGGGCAAGTCCGCTCTGTTCAAGGATGAATTTGTCTATCAACCGGTTATTGGTTGGTAGGCACCGATGCTCCATTTGCCATTGCAGGGAGGCCAAATTTGTAGGTTTCTTTTTAGTCAGCTGGAACCATTTCACGTTTCTCCGTGATTTTTGCTAATGTTCAGATGTTTCATCCATCTCATTTCCACCTGGTCCCGCAAATTTATTTTTGGCCGGAGTAGTCTGTATGTTGCTTTGACTGTGATATTGTACAACGTTTTAGTGCTGGTTCTGCCCTTGCCAATTGTGTTTGTCCATACCCATTCTAAAGGGTCTAGAGGCAGTTGGGATATTGGTGTGTCTGGGGAGAACGCCACCCATCTGTCCTTCACCCGCAGCACCCTAATTCTTGAGAGTTCGTCCTCCTTGACGAACTGTATTTGTTCTGGACTGGTCTTTTGGAGGAAGTTGTCATTACCAACTGTGAATGTATCCACCACCACTGGGCTCTTTGGGTCCCAGCACACCACGTTGCCCACCTCCCCCTGACGACCTCGGATTGCTACCCAGTCGGCCTCCTGTATTGAGGGTCCCTTTCTCATAATTTTTCACCAATTTAGGGGGACGCATTCGATTAGATTTCCCAGCGCCTCCTCTGGTCTGTGGCGGCATCTCAGTTTTTCCTTGAGTCGGTCGCCAGTGATCCAATCTCTCATGTCCGTATCCCAGATATCTCTTATTCTAAGAACCCCCCTTTTCACCTATCCTCTCCAAGGGGAGTCCATGCAATGCAAAACTTAGCCTCTGGAATTCGTTATCCCTCTATTCCCAAACAGTGGCTGACGGGTCACTTCTTCCCATCTTTCAGGTTGACTTTTGTCCGGTAGGGGGAGGTTCCTCCATATCTGTAGGAGGGTTGGC